ATTTTTTTTCTTTCCTTTAAAAAAACAACAATGTTGAGAATAGTTCGTCACAGCAGCACCCTGGCCAAACTATGGGTGAAACATAATGGCAGTCAAGCCACTCGTGTCTACTGCTGGCTGCTTAAATATCAGTGACCTTGCCAAGGCCATCAAGCAGAAGTTCCCAAACCAATTCTCTGCCGTTGACTCCAACCAAATCTCTATCCATCAGTCACTCCAGGATGCTGCTCTTGAACCTGATCTTCCACTGCTGGTCTGTCCGCCAAATTACCTTTGATTGTCAAGACTCTGGGATCCTCTGCGCCGGCTCAGAAGACCATCTTCATTCAGGATATTGATGAAGAGTGCCGTCCTTTGGATAGCTTTTCCAAATATCTTGTTGAATCAAATGATGATTTGAAACAGATCCTCGAAGGAAAAGGCTCGGCTCTCTACCAGCTGTTCAATCCCAAGGACAAGATTATCAAGTTCAAGCAGTTGATTGATGGGGAAAAGTACAATGTATATTCTCGCTACGAACGGTCGTTTGCTGACGAAGTACGTTGGCAGCAGAATGAAGACAAAGCTATGGAGGAGGAAACTCACTTGGCCGTGAGGCGATTCCTTGCTACCCATCTTGGTCCTTCAGCTGTAGATATGCCAACGGACATTATGGCTGCAGACGGAAAAACCATTGTCCAGGAGTGGAATGCTGTCTTTAAAGATGGCGATGTCCTGTACTTATGTGAAGCCAAGCATAATATGACCGATAAGCAAGTGAACAAGCTCCCTGCAAGAATTCGCAAGTTCAAGGAGTTTCAAGCCAATGCCCAGCCAGAATTTCGAAATGTCACAAAATATGTTGGGGTGTTGTGTGGTACGTTGTTTCCAGAGGATATTAGAAAGATCGCACACCTTGGATTCATTTGCGTTTATCCATCAGGATATTGTTACGATGTCAAAAAGCCAGAGGATTTCATCATTGAACGTTAATTGTTGTTTGATAATAAAAATAGTTTTACCAAATTTTGAAAATAACAACTGAGTAGTCTTGCATAGAAACAAATATAACAAATTTCAGGTAATTAGATTCTGCTCAGATTCCAAGTCAAATTCAGATTCTAATTAGAAACTAAATGCGTTGAATGTCGGAAAAAATTATTTATGACGAAAGTTTGATATGAAATTATTATACTATTAACTTTTGACCATTTCAGCAGAGAATCTCGCCTAAAAACTGGTATCATCGGATGCCCTATATACTACTGACATGGCTCTTATCGATGGGGTTAAACCTGTTTTGATGGAACTGGAATTGATTGAACCATCACTATATCTATCGTATGATGATACTGCCCTCGATAAATTTGCCAATGCAGTATTTGCTTTTTTGGAAAAGCAATAATTGCTCTATATTGATTTTTTGATAAAGATGGAGTTTGGTTTTAATGCACAAATGATCTGGGTTGGTTCTAGGCTGGTTTATCCTATTTCGATACTATCAAGTGCTCACCAATGCAGCTAATTCTTTGCACGAATAAAATCAAATATGTCCAACTTTACTTTTACAGTTGTATTTTCAATTAAACTCCACTCTATTGTATCCTAAACTATCAGATATTTTTCCGTTCTAGTTCAAGAGAACAAGATCGCAGGTTTCGAGAATATACTTGTTTTTATTTCAATCACCAGGATACCAGTCAACTTTGTCAGTTCAAATGACCCAATGTTGTCCAGTAAACTGGCACAACCATTTCATAAAGTTGGTTTTATATCATGTATTTTGACATCCTTATTTAATGTTCCATTTTACGTGAATACGTCGGTGATTTAAATCCTATCAACTTGTCCAAACATTGTTTTGCAAACCCTGACAGTATTTCATAGACTACAAAGTTGCATTCACTATATAATACGCTAAACCATGAATAACTTGCCATAACGGGAGTTTTACACCATTGTTGCTGGTGGTGTAGCTCTTGCTGCTAATGCCGGTTTCATCAATGTCGTCTCTATGGCAGGTGTATTTCCAGGCAAGTGCCATGAACCGTGTATCTTGTCGCGCCATCTTCAGTTTGACTTGAATACATGATTGAAGTCTATCCTATCCTTGCATGTATTTCAATTCATAGTGCACAACACAATATATAGTGTTTATTTACCACTTGAATACATATTTCTTTGACCATTTTGCATATCAAATGCTCCAAACTCGCGTTAGTCTGACTCAAACTATTGATTGCTACAACACGCTTCTTGTATTCTAATGATTTGTTTTCATAATGCTATGGATTGTGTTATTGCAAAACACAATATTTTCTGATACCACAAACCAATTGGTGACTGCTCACTAAAACCTGTTCACATTGACACAATTATCAACTGAACCTATAGGTGTGACGGTCTCTCATGTCACTGGATCGGTTTCTCGGGTTGCTATATCGGCTGTTCAGCAAGATTGGGAAACATTTCTTTTGGTCGTATCTATTATTGTATCATTTACATTTGGATCGTTTATGGCTGGATTTATAGTGGGTGACAACCGATTCAAACTTGGTGCCAATTACGGGATAACACTGTGTATAGAATCTGCTGCGTTGTTTACATCGTTTATGTTTTTGCGTCGAGAGTTGGTATTGGGCGAATGGGCTGCAGCATTTGCTTGCGGATTACAAAACGCAATGGTGACTTCTTACTCTGGGTTGGCTGTTCGCACAACACACATGACAGGAATCGCTACAGATGTAGGAAATATTTTGGGTCAAGCGTGTCGATCTGATACCAAGGCCGAGTTATGGCGTCTCAAAGTTCATGTTCCTATTCTTTTTGGGTTTATTGCAGGTGGCATGTGTGGTCAAATCGCATGGCTTTCTATTCACGAATATTCTCTCCTTGTCCCGTGTATATTCACTGGTGGTGTTGCCGCTTTGTATCTCACTTTACCGTTTATCAAAGATGCGGCAGAACAAATTAAACACGCTCTTCCTCATGAACTCCATTTTATGGACAACTATGAAGGAGATCCTCGGAAATATCAAGAGTATCATAAGGAGCAGTTGCTGAAGCAAGTAGATCACTATGCAAAAATTACTGGCAAGAATGTTGATGATGAAATTCGAAGGTTTTTGAATGATATGGTTGGAAACGATGAAATTGAAATGGGAGTATTGAATAGCGTATCCATCAGCAGTACTGGCAAAAGAGATAGTGGATCATCTAGACTGCTCAGTTCAAGACGTGGGCAATCTGCATATGGAGCAACAGATGAAGATGACGACTTACCTAAACAAATAAATATTTAAATTATAATCACATGGATCGAGTTTGATTATCAATCGATTGGTTGGGCATTTCAAGTGATTAAATGGTTTATACAGTCGTATTCACGCAAAATGGATCACCCAATACGAGTGTCAATATATAATAAACTGCCAATCTCATATGATGATTTACATTGCATTTACTGTACAACATTTTCATTGAGCTTTTTTACAAGTCTTTTGGTGATTGGCATGCAGAGTTGCATTCTCAAGACATGCAATTCTTGGTTTCTTGAACTAGAACGTAAACGTATCTGATTTTAGCATACGAATGTTTGTACAGTTTGATTGCCATCAAAACAGTTTAATCTATGCATTTCAGTACATCAATCTGGTGATTGTACAACGTATGACTACCAGAAATGAACAACTATTTCAGTTCAAAACTATCGTTTGTATGATATGATGGATGTTGCATCAGTCAAAAATGTCCATCAAGTCAATCTTTAATATGAGAGTGTAACAAGTATTCAACCAGTGTTTACTACAAACTAAAACAGTCACATTCATTGCAATACCAATACAAAACCATTCCATTTACATCATTATGGTGTAATTAAACGATGATCATTTGATATGTAGTCAGAATCCAAATGCATGTTACAACACTGCACCAACCAACTGTTTGAAACATACAGTATTCTAGCAGTATTCTACAAATTGTTGCTACTACATGATGATGCAGTTTACGTTAATTTGTGTGAATCAAATCGAGCTTATAGTTTAATTAGAGTTTAATGACATGCTCGTAATTGAATTAAACTATTCTGCGTGTCATGATTCGCATTAATATTGTATTGATGTGCAAGTATAAAAACATCTGATTTGGTGTATAACATGCTCGTTAATTTGTCTATTATGAAGTTTACTATTATTTCGACTGTGATTATCACTGCTTCTGCAGTCATTGCTGTTCCTGCCATCAATGACAGACTCCAGTTTAATGCACCGTCTATCAACCAAAATCAAAACACTGGTATCGATACTGGATCTGGATCTGGTCCTGGATTTGGTCCTGACCTGTCATCTGAGTCTGGTCTTGGATCTGAGTCTGAATCTGCCATTCAGGATGCAGCCAAAATCCCGATTTTTTCAGCTCCAACGTTTTCAAAACCAGTATTTCCACAAAACACTGCTGATACTCAAAACATTGATATTCCACATCAATCATCCGTCTGTTCAGTTGACGATTACGCAAACACCATCCAGAATTTGCAAAATGTAATCCAACAACAAATGTCAACCATCCGTGACATGCTGGATAGATTGCACGCATCCAGTATTCAACAACCAGCAATGCCTGATTCATCATTTGATTCATCGTTTGGTGCACGTCATGATGCATTGACTCGTTTGCATGATTTGAATGATCGTCTTGGCAACAATATGGTCAGATTCACGACTGCTAGTCCATTGGTTATGGATTCATGGTCTGATGTCAAGAGCGGTATGAAACCATCATGTGCCGGAATCAATGCGGCTTCTACATGTCAAGAAAATGCAATCAAGAGTGATGTGTCGTGTGGTGAAGACAAGTCTGCAGCAGTAGATCGAGCCAATGCAGTGCGTGGATTCATACGTGGCATTGCATTGCAAAAACTTGCATTGTTGGACTGTGCAGCATCTAATCTTGGACAGCAATATCAAGGTAACCAAAAAACACAGCTACTGCAGCAACTTGATCGTGTTCGTGAAGTCACGGCAAAACTTGAATTGCAATTCAAATCGCTATCATGTCGTGCCAAGCAACTAGGCAGCTGTGATGCCAAGATTGGTGAGTGTAAAGGTGTTCAAGATAATACACGTTTGGAACGACGATGGTGGGGAGCAGGATCAGGAGCTGGATATGGCGCGGGAGTTGGTGCAGGATATGGCGCTGGAGTTGGCGCAGGATACGGTGCAGGAGTTGCTGCGGGATATGGTGTAGGCATGTAATAATTGAATCTACCCATTTTTTGTTAGCACACCTAAAAAGCTTATTATACCCAGACCGGGAATTTTCCCATGCTTGATATATTTTTGCAATTCTGTTCACACTTTGACACAATAAACTCAACTTGCATGTATGTGAATTTGTAATATTGACTTGAAGGATGTTTAAGCTATTTTATTATTTGTTGGAATGGATTGTAAAGCTGTATTTGATTCGAATGTGGGAATAAAACCTTGCAGTTGAGGAATATAAAAGCCAATACACTATCTTTATTGATCAACCAATCTTGGCTATTTATAAAATGTATCTGTTTACTATTATAACTGCAGTGATGGTGCAGATCGCAGCAGCCATTCCATCTTATACTACTATGGGTTACACGACTGAAACGCGATTTGGGCACAGGTTGTCCATACACTCTTGATCAATATGGGACTGCTGCGATGCAGTTTCATACCACCATGCAGCAACAACAAACAGCCATTCAAGCACAAGTTCAGGCCACTGCTACTGCCATAGCAACCAATGGCGTAGCTATTGCTTCGGCCAATGCTGTTGGTGGTGCAGCCGCGGCACCAGTGGTTGATCCATCTGTATACTGGGCTCAGTGGCAGAACTGGAATACCAATCTGGCTAGTTATGGAAATGTTTTGTGGAATGCTGGTTGTTTGTCTACTTACTGGGACAACGATAGCAATTATTATAATGCAATGATTGCTCTGCAGCAAAATCTCGCACTTCAGGTAACTTTAAACTCGAAGGGTTGTGAGTTACTATTCTAAATATTAACATGTAAACCCATTATAGAATCAGGCTATTTGGAATAATATAGCCGCTGCTAATCAGCAAGCTGCAGCACATGCCAATGCGCTGTATCTACAGACTGCAACCCAAAATGCGCTGACAACATTCAATTCGGCAGCATGCCAGATTAATACAGCGTATGGAGCACAGTTGGGATGGAATAGTGTTTCGGGAACTTCATGGAACTGTTGAGGCTTATATTGAACTGAATTCCTTGGCATATCATCCAATATGCAGAATGATTAAATAAAGTTTGAAGTTGGCTCAGATCTTGTCGATATATTATCATGACATTGGCTGAGCGGTAAGTAGTGTTGGCTAGAATGATAGTATTCAGCCATTGCTACGTGTAAATGGTTTGTATTAACGATACTCATGCTGCATTCGCCTCAAGGTTTGCATTGATTGAAAGGGATAGAGCTGTTGCTGCCAAGACTCGAGCAGTTCATCCATCATCCTCTACAACTGTTCAGAAAAGACTTGAGCCATCCACTTTTAACAAAAGACTTGATGCAAAGACTGCTGCAACTCTCTTGAAGCAGCAACAACAGACTGGTCATAAAATGTCCAATTCTGCTGCCAGTATGATGACCAAGCAAAGTAATGGTCGTACTAAAGCATCCAAGACCATTTCAGTGGTCAAACCCCTTGTAAAGCGTCTTGGACCCAAACCAGGTCCAATTGAGAATCGTCTTGGCAAGCGGCTTATTGACCGGTTAGGTGATAAACCCACTGCTGCTGGAAAGACTAAAGCTGTATTACGCTCCAAGAAAGCACGAAAGGTATCCAAGACTATAGTATCCAACTCGACTCCTAAAAGCAAGACTCGAGGATGTGTTGCTAATATTGGCTCATCCAGTTATTCTGCAGCAGATATGATGGATGATGACGATTACAAATTTGGTCAAGCTGCAATATATTAATTCTCGATATTTCAAGATTATAATTAGACTGGTTCATTACTATGGTTGCAGCTGTGGAGTGGATCTCTATTGCAGTGTGGATGGATGCGCAATCATTACTGCACGATAAGCCTTCAACATGCTTCGACTCGTGCATTACAAAGTATCGGGTGAAATTGCAATAGATTCAAGTGGTGCATGCGTTGCTTGATCAACAGACTCACCCCAATCACTTGCCGGATCTTGTTGATCAGTAGTTGTTGCATACTCGATAGAAAGCCGAGCCGATTCCTTATTAGACCGTGTCGGCTTGTCCTTGTCTGAATCAAGACAAATGATGCTATCGGCTGCATATACTTTTTTCTCTGTGGACTCCTGTTTTTGCTGATGTGCACAATCGCACAAGTCTTTTAGCTCGTCTTTATGCGTATTGACATACTCGACGGCTGTACATGCCGCTGCTTTTTTGGCATCGCGTTGCCCAGTGCCGAGACATTGAGCCAATACCATGTTGTGATACGTGATAGTTGCGGTAGTACCTCCATGTAGACCATATTCATATCTGAATGTTTTGTTTTTAAAAATAGTTGGATTTCAGTACTTTTTGGCAATTGTATTCAACAGAAATGCAGACAATAGATTTGTAGTTGTCAAATTTACCCGACAAAAAACATACGTGTAATCTATCTTGACACATTTAAACAATGAATAGGACAAGGTTCGCAATTCAGCAACTGGGTTCTCGTATATCATTGATTCTCCACCAAACAGCGATGTGAATCGCCACCACCAAGGTGAGATCACTGTGATGTCAAACATGCTTTGCACGCAGTGTATATCAAATTGAGAATCTACAAATACAGCACCTAGCATGGACTCGTAAACATCACCTGCAGTTTTTGGTGCTGTATTTCCCTTGTTCCAAAACAATCGAGCAGAGGCAATTTGAGTAGCTGACGTCGATATTGGTAATGAAGTAGATGATTCAGATGCAAGATAGCCTTGAACCCATGCAGCAAACCGCCCGATTGCTGCTTCCATAGTCATATCTGTATGGCGTATATACTTTACCAACCCAATTTGAATCGACACACATGCCAGAAATTGATTGCAAACAAGCTCAGCGCGAAGTTTTGATAATCCACCTGGATTCAACGGTGGTGTAATTTTATACAAATGTTGCATTACAAGGTAAGAAAGCACTGCATCTCCTAAAAATTCAAGCCGTTGAAATATGCTACCCAGTTTTCCCGTTCCTGAATGGTTATAGTCCATGATATCAACGAGTTTATGCATACTGCTTACTCCACACACATCACGCACATCAAACCAGTTCAGTGATATGCGAGTGTTGCGGTTTGACCAAATCACAATCACACATATTGTCGACTGTCTAACTCGTTGATATTCAAACCGTGCCATCACTAGTCACAATATAATGGTTGACTGGTTCGTTTGATTGATCTGACATTGACACTTTGCAAACCTCGACTTGATTCATCAACTTGGATATTCATATAATATTGGGTTTATATCATCACGTTGGACTCGTTATCAAACACCTTGATGTGTCCATGCAACACAAACTCGATATACACACATTGGTTACTGTTTGGCATGACTGGGTCGATCATCAATACCAGACAATGCAACTGTATTAGTTGCATGATACAATCGATCATGGTTGGTTCATCACCATCAAATATCAAATGTTGATCACGTATACATTGATTTGTAATTGCATGGTCCGTTGGCAATACACACTATGATATGATTGACAAGTTGTTGATTTGCAGTAATCAGATGTGCATCACCTGTAACATTGGATGCAATTGACGAGTTGTAACCGCCAGTCAACAATCATCGATATGTTGGTGATTGTATTGACTACATGATTGGTATTGATTAGCTGTCATGATCGATTGGTGAACAATACAATCCACATTGATTATGACGTGTTGTAACTAGTTGATATATGCAGACTCGACTGATGATCGAGTATATGTTGATGAGTAACTCTGTCACTGTTGGTTTGGATTGGTCATTGCTACTGCTTGTATATGCAGTGTATTCATGTGTGATGTATTGGATATCGGTGCTGTGTATGTTGAACTTGTTGGACAATATATTGTCATGTCGCATCAAATCGCACCATATTTAGAATGCAATCATTGATTGGTTGGTTTAATGATCGACTCAACTCACATTCAACTGTAATGGTCACAAATATGCATTGCTGATTGACACGCATATATCAACATGTATCAGACTCGGACATGGTGTATATCAGTTGCATATACCAATCACTGATGCAATTGATGATGATCGATTAGTCAATCAATTGGGTATCAACACCAATATCAGTTCATTACCACATGAATACTTGCAGTTGTGACTTGTATTCAGTCAGCAATGTTGTATGTCGTGACTCGATACAACATACAGCATGATATATTGGACAATTGTATTGCAACACGGTCAATGGCATGCTGGTGATTTGTTGTGCTGTCTGACTGTATATATGGTGTCGATCAGTGTCAATCAGTAATACATTTGTATTGGTCATGAATTGTGTGCAGTGATCTGGCAGTATCGTGATGTATGATACCATGATCAATGTAAAACATCATTTGATCAAACACGGTAATTGTGATTGTGATTACAATCTAGAATTGTGTGTGGAATACAATCAGAATCACAATTGGCAGGATATTGGGTGACTTTGTGTGAAATAACCATTATTGGTAGTTCAACCTGGATATACACAAAAAACAACCGACTGTTGCATAGACTGTATTTGAATTTGCATGATAGCAAGTCGTTGGATGACCCGACCTGTATACAAATTGACTGATAAATGACAAATGGGACCAATCTAAACAGTGCACAGATGGATGCTGGTCAAAAAACATGACCAATTGAACAATCAGTCAAATACTTGGCATACAATGACAGTGTATGCTGTGGTAATGGATTGTAGATGCGATGATAATTATCCATAATGGCACTACCTGATCACTGGATACATGACCGCAATTGGAGAGATCAACGGAGCATACTACCGAGGTTAATTATACACCAACAGTGATGCTTGTATATTGATTCACCCTACATGGTGTATTTGGCGTTTTCTAAATACCCATTTGGAGATTGCCGATTGTCACCCTTGAAGCTGCCGTCATTATAAAACAGCAGTCATGTATCAGATTCAACACATTTTCATCACACTACTCGATACAATGTTGATTATTCTAGAATGCGTTATACTTGCGTTGCAGGCGGTTGCTGCAGTTCGACTTGCATTAGAATCACCAATTGGAACTACCAGTCCATCAAACAATAGGCTATCAAAACGATCACCCGTTGAATTGGGTGGTGATATCAAGAAATGCTACACAATTAAATCCAATGTTGATGGAGTCAATGTATGTATCATGCCATGCATTGTAGTGTGTGTGATATGTTCAAACCGTGCATGTATTGTATCGGTTTAATATGGTATACTGCTGCAAATATCATGATTATCACATTCCATTGGTGTGTGATCATATTGCACCAATCGACCAGTATACGATTAATGTATACATCAACATGTGTATAATGACCATATTGTTGGCATTGTATATTCAACATGTGATATTTGACACACTACAAACTTGATATTGCGACTGATGTGTGTGATCAGTCAGGCTATTGATGCAACCATTTTGACACCACAATCAACGAGTCAAACCAGTCAAATTGGTCGGATCTGATATCAACACACATGACTATTGTTGGTATTGGTGTTGCATGGAATGTGTCAATACGACATGTCAAGCAATATCATATCGACAATACACACATGCATGTCAGCATCATCAATGTGTACAACTATGCAATATACAATCAACTGTATTGTATTGTATTGTATTGGAAATACAAGTGTCAATGTACAATATGATATGATACCAACCAAGACTGTGTACAATGATCAGATATAATGCATGCACATACAATTTTATTGTAAATTAAACCATAATGACAATTGAATCGGTTGAAACAAGTCCAGATTAACATTTAAATCAAACAGGTGAACCATCATTTCTGGGTTGCTGAAAGAATGATCCAACATTATGCACAAGCCTGGAGGCTTCTCTCTGTATACTGGAAGAAGCTCTCTGTCCAAAGGCGGAAACTCTTTGTCCAAAAGCGGAAACTCTATGTCCAAAGGATCCAAATCCAGATGGTCTACTCGATGATGGTTGCGGATCTTGACTTTGCTGCTGATCACCATGATTCTGACCAAAATTATTATCGCATCCTGATGATTGTCCTTGACCACATAATTCTTCAAGGTATTCCATAACGGAAGGATGTGAGCCGATGGAAACAAGTTTCTGATCAAATGATCCAGAATTCCAAGTTCTTCCAAAAACGAACTTCACGAGCTGTTCATCTTGTTCATTAACGTATAGTGACATATTAATGTAGTATAAGTTTTTAGAGGAAGATCACAGAGATGTAAGACAAGAAGAAGGAATGAATCAGAATAGTCGTGATTTATTGTTGATAAGAGAACTTTGTCTCTTATATATAGTAAGTAGTAGTGGTGAATTAGTGGCGGTATAAGCGTCACTCCTAAGCTTCACCGTTAAGGGTTCCCAAGCGTTACAGTCTTTGCATAGAGTGAGGCAACGGTCATCACCATATCTAAGCATTGTATAGCTTACTTGTTTATACAATGCTTGTTACTAGACCCCATCCTGACTGTCTGGGTCCTATTACAAATGTCATACATTACCAATGTCTAACACCCCTCCACGTCGAGAACACTCTCGAAGACCGAGCAGGTTGACGAATTGTTCGAAGGCGGGTCTTGGTAATCCTTTTGTCAGAATATCAGCTACTTGATCCTTAGTACCGATGTACTCTGGTTTGATCAGTCCCTGGCTGATTCTGTCTCGTAATGCATTAATCTTAATGCCTATATGTTTGGTTGCCTCGTGTACGACGGATGGTCCAATCATGTTTGATATCGCCGATTGCGAATCACAGTATAGCGTTGTTGGTCCATCTTGTTCGAAACCTAACTCTCCAAGTAGATCGCGCAGAAACAATAATTCTCGCGATGCTGATTCGGCAGCAGTATATTCGGCTTCCATAGTAGATACGGCCACACACGTCTGTTTTGATGACCTCCACGATACAAGTGCATTGCCTACATAACATAAATATCCAGACGTAGACTTCCTGGTCTTTACGTCTCCAGCCCAATCGGCATCTGAGTAACCACTCAATGATGCGTTGGTTCCTCCTAGTTCTAGTGCGTAACTTAACGTTCCTTGCACGTAGTGTAGTATGAGCTTGACTGCATTCCAATGTTGATCAGTCGCATGGTGCATATGTCGGGCAGCTTGTCCAACTGCAGCGGCCAAGTCCGGGCGTGTTGCTATCATAGCATACATTAGTGACCCGACTGCTTCTCTGTAAGGTGCGGATGTAACCGGATCCGTTTCCTCAGCTGCTGGTAATGGGTTCGAAGGGTACAGTGGAATAAACTTTGGATTGCAATTTGACATGCGAAATTTCTCTAGTACATCAGAGAGATAGTGCGACTGGGATAGGGTGATAGTTCGACCCATTCGATTGCGAATTATCCTTATGTTCAGGCACGTATGAATTGGACCCAAGTCCTTCATGCTAAATTCCTTGAACAGTTTCGACTTCATCCTTTCGAGTAAACTCCTGTTGTTACCAACAAACAGGATATCATCCACATATATAGCAATCATGACAAACCTGTCCTTGGCTGACAGAATGAGGATACATTTATCCGTCATGCATTGCGTAAATCCCATATTCAAGCACTTGTCCACCAGAACCTTGTTCCATTGGTACGGCGCTTGTCGTAATCCATAAAGAGCTTTTTGTAGTCTTCCTACTCGTTTGATTGCCCCTCCTGTGCTGTTGTTGTATCCTTCAGGCAGCTCGATATAGAGCTCCTCGTCAATTGTGCCATTCAGAAAGGCATTGTTCGCATCCGTATGGTCAACTTCCCAATCATAGATTGCAGCTAGTGCCAATATGATTCGCAAAGAAGTGAATTTTAATACCGGAGCATATGTTTCGTGAAAGTCGATGCCTGGTACTTGAGCGAATCCTTTCGCTACTAATCTGGCCTTGTACTTGTCAATAGTACCGTCAGCCTTGTACTTGATCTTGAAGACCCATCTGACTTTGATGGCCTTGAATCCTGATGGAAGAGCGCATTCTTGCCATGTGTTATTCTTGTACAAAGAATCCATTTCTGCGTCTGCGGCTTCTTTCCATAGATCTGCATCACTCGACATCATAGCCTGTTGCCATGTTTCTGGCACAATGTTCCTCGATGATCCGTTCGATATAACTGCCACTGCGTTATTCGACTCATCGGCATTACTGGTACCACTCCCGTGAGTGTACGAGTAGTATTGATCTGACTCTTCCAGATCACTGTCATCTTGACTTGTATTGGTTGGCAAATCCTCAACCATTCTCTGTTCCACCGCAGCCTGTATGCTCGGCTCAGACGCGTCAGCAGTCTCTGATATCGCTCCTGGATAATCAGCCGTGACCGTCGATTCTGTGGGAGCAGCCATCGTGGCTCTGTCCCTGTTCATAACGTCAACTGGACGTTCCTGAACTGCTTTCCTCGAACCTTGAGATTTCGATCTCGGTTTCTGGTTCGGTTTCCTATAACCGGCTAGACTCGACTCATTTAACGATGTCTTGATAGCCTTATTCCTGCTGATGCCACGCCCTAATAACTCCTCCTGAGTTATGCGTTCATCGCTTGTTGTGACCTCGGTCCCGCGATCTGCTACAGTCATCCTCGCTGTATTCCTTGCAGTCGGTACTACTCTTGGTACTTGTCGGCGACCTGGTTCTGACTCCCCTCCAATTGGCGTACTCGCACAATCTGGATTTCCTGGAGTTTCTGATGTTTTTGGACTTACCACATTATCTATCGCAATAGGTACAGACGGTGTAACACCACCGCGTAAATTGTAGCTATGAGTAAATAATGGTGCCTCTTCGTACAGTGTCATTGCTGGTACGGTATTGTTCCGACGAACGGGATTAGAGAGTGAAGGAAACTCCTCTTCAGCAAACTCCACATCCCTGCTTGTTATCATCTTTTTGCTTTCAAGGTCAAACAGCTTGTATGCCTTGGCCTGTGAGTGATAACCGATAAATACACACCTTCTAGTGCGTGTGTCCAATTTAGTCAGCAGTTGCTTTGGTCTGAGTGCATACGCTGCACATCCGAACGTCCTGAGATGCATCACCTTTGGCAGCTCTCCTGTCCATAGCTCGTATGGTGTTCTTTGGCCTAGCGCCTTGTTAGGAGACCGATTCTGTAGATACACTGCAGTCATTGCTGCCTCTGCCCAGAATTCTCGACCAAGCTTGCAACTGGCAAACATAGCGCGTACAGCGCTAACTATTGTCCGATTCTTGCGTTCGGCAACTCCATTTTGCTGTGGAGTGTAAGGCGTCGTTCTCTGTACTGCAATTCCTTTAAGCTTCAGGAACTGTTGGAACGCACTGGAGGTAAACTCCCCTCCATTATCGGTTCGGATCGCTCGAACCGGTAAGCCTTTACTTAATTCGACAGCGGCAACATGTTCCTTGAACCGCTGGAACGTTTGATCTTTTGAGATCATTGGATACAGGTGGGAATACCTTGAGTAATCATCTACTATGATCAGGTAATACTTGTATCCACCTAGAGCCGTGTCATGAAACGGCCCTTCTAGATCCATGTGTAGTAACACATTGACTTGAGTCGCCACATGTGTACTTGTTTTCGGGAACGGGTGTCGAACGGCCTTGCCTTTGATACATGCCACGCACTGAGACCTCTCTTTGGTCTTTCCCGGTATGATGTCAAGACCTTCCGATTTGTCGGCCAAGTTCTTGATCGATTCGACATTTATATGCCCCAGTCTTTTATGCCAGCCAGCAGTGTCTGTGGGCTTTCTAAATACTTCTGACGCGTGATTAGCTGTTGCAATTACTGTAGCATGAGCCATTGCACGTTCCTCATCAGATATTATAGCCTCGCAGTTTACTGCGTTTACGCCTCCGTCTCTACGGGTAGTCATGATAACTTCGCCATTTGACTTTCTTATCGTTCTGACCTTTTTGAAAATACTGATCTGACATCCTTTGTCTTCGAGTATATTTTCAGAGATAAGGTTGACTCCGAAAGTTGGCACCACTAGAACATTACCCAGTTGAATGGAAACAGTCCTGTGACCTATATTGCACAGGATTTCCACTGTTCCAGTACCGATGACATTGTGCATGTCTTGTCCTGATGCCTTGACCTGTCGGTTGCTGCACGGTACAAAATCATACACCCATTCAGGTCGGCATACCATATGGCTGGAGGCTCCCGAGTCCAATATGAACATATCACTCCTATCGATGGAGCTACATGCCTCGTCAATTACAACGTCCCTTTTCTTGTCATCCATTGCTACAAACATTCCGTCTGCCGATTGATTATTCCTTGATCGGTCTTGGTTGTTTGATCGTGGCCCTTTGGAGAAGAATTTCGGTGACGATTGTCGGTAATTGCCGTTCCTTGGAGCTGGTCGACAGTCCTTTGCATAGTGGCCTATATTACCACAATTATGGCATGCGGGCATTCTGTCTTGATCGTCGTTTCTTTGTTCATAGGGTCGACGTCCCTGCTCTCTACGATAATAAGTATCCATCTCATGGTTTGCTGCAAAATAGTCATCCCGACTAGAATTGCCTTGCTTTGCGCCGTGTGCATTTGGCCCATGTGATGTTGAACCTTTCCGTAGGTTCCTATGATTTCTAGACGCATAGTTCGCCTCGTATATGGTGTCATCTACACCGTGCCTCGGTAGTGCACCCATGTTGATGAGTTTAATTTCCTCTTCGATGAGTTCCGACAGGAATTTGTTGGGGCTTAACATTTCGTCGGTCCATCGCACTGTATGTCCTTCGAAGTAGCGCCATTCTCTGCTCTTGGAAACAAGTTTTGCCATCACCCTTGATGCAAACACTTTCTCACCCCAAAATATATTTGCCGCTGCAATCTTATGACGTAGACTCGTCATAGTGTTGTACAGTTCCTCGACTCCCTTCCTGGGATCGTACTGCAGATTTGCCATGGCTTCCTCTGATCGCGTCAGCGATCTTTTACAGTAGTCAACATAATGGTTCTTGAGTCCGACCCAGATTTTCCTGGCGTCAAGTTGTACTCCATTACTGTCACAGAGCATAAACTTGAATTTACTGCTCACTGTTGCCTGCAAGATTCCTCTTGCCTTGAATTCCTTTAATTTGTAGTCGCGCTCGATCTTTTCTGGAAGTTCACCTATGATGTGAGATTCCCATAGATCCAGAGTTTCGAAGGCGGCCTCCATTTGGTTTGCCCAGACAGTGTAATTGTCCTGGGTCAATACCGTAATAATAAGACCTTCAGCGATCTTGACCTGCTGTGAGTCTGGGCTCATAACCTCTTGTTCATTAACGTATAGTGACATATTAATGTAGTATAAGTTTTTAGAGGAAGATCACAGAGATGTAAGACAAGAAGAAGGAATGAATCAGAATAGTCGTGATTTATTGTTGATAAGAGAACTTTGTCTCTTATATATAGTAAGTAGTAGTGGTGAATTAGTGGCGGTATAAGCGTCACTCCTAAGCTTCACCGTTAAGGGTTCCCAAGCGTTACAGTCTTTGCATAGAGTGAGGCAACGGTCATCACCATATCTAAGCATTGTATAGCTTACTTGTTTATACAATGCTTGTTACTAGACCCCATCCTGACTGTCTGGGTCCTATTACAAATGTCATACATTACCAATGTCTAACAGTTCATTGATGGCCTGCAATCTAATTTTAAAATAATTATACCTGGACTCACACTCATGATAGCGTCTTCCAAGATCGGCAAGTTTGGATTTTTGAATTTCAAGATCAAACTTAGCCTTCTGAATTTCACCATCATATTCTGGACTGCCACCGTTTTCTCGAAGTTTATATTCCAAAACTTTAATCTTTCTCCCCAAGAGCTTTACTAGATTCTGTTGATCTATATATTGATGTTTTGTAAAGCGATGCGGTATTTTTTGCTGATTACGATCATAATCTATCTTTACGTATTCTTTGAGCAAATCTTTGATGATGTTTGGAAGTGTATCAAGACCACTTATGCCTATACCGTTTGGATTATGAGTCGGAAAAGTGTTAGATTCAACATCTGTAGTTGCACTGGGGTTGACTGGATTGGCTGTAGTAACCGAGCAGGCAAGCAAGATCGATGACAATACAGCAACTGCGAGTTTCATTCTACTGGTTTGGTTGAGCAAGTTGTAATGTCATTCAACAAGTCGGGTTTTGAACTGTATTTATATCCATTATTGAATGAATGATATTAAAAGCATATTCCTTGAATGGTCGTCCTAAGGGCTTGTGTTGTTGTCAGGGTTGATATTGATTTGTTATCAATGCCAAACTTTGAAGGGATATCCCTTTATATGACGATCCACAATTTTGATTAAACCGCCACCTGTGTATTCAAATATCATATGGTTGATTATGCAGCTTCACTCTGAAAAGGGTTATGGTCAAGGGTTAGGGTTAAGAAATGAGTATAAACTGAGACTGAAATGAGTTGACACTCGGCTATTAGTTGGTCATCAATATTGTTGTGATATTTCATGCTTGTTAAAATAGCAAGTGATTGGCATGATTCAACGTACAAGTAGTGTATAGTGAGCATCGGATGATACCGTTTTACTTGAACAAGAGTGCTAAATCCGTTGGAATAATTGTAATTTAGTCGTCTATTTCTGTACTACATTTTACACCCTCATTGTTACACAACATCAAATGTCTGCAAAGGAAACAGCTGGAAATGGAATGCGTTTGTAGAAATAGGAAACATCATACACAAAATGACAGCAATATTGCGTACATACAAATCAAAGTATGCTATCATGATTGCCAACGGATTGATTGAAAACAACTTTATATCCAACTTGCCCATCAACAACCAACAACTCTGTTGGAGTTTTGTGTAATCTGATTTATATTAATTTAAATGGAGGTGTGTGTGTATGATCTGTAACTGTTAGTAGTTGACAGAAAATAACAAATCAAAAGTGTAATGGGAGTTGCACAGTAATTCAGGATCAGCAGACTTGGTTTTTTCAATGATAATGAAAAGATGTAATAAAACAATAATATGTTGAAATGGTTGGAAGAGTCATTTATTAATAAATATGAGTTATAGTCAGTCTTGTAGTAATTGATTGTTTGTATCTTGGTGACACGAACAAGTAGAATGTATGATGAGCAATCAGAAAAGTAAATTGATCAATAGGTGTAATTCCTATTGTTTACCAAGTCAAATAGTGGAATTATGGCACACAAACATTGGTGATACGAGTCCCTTGGATCATCACATATTACCATTTAGTATCCCGCATGGATACTCGACACATTTGGTAATCATACATTGTATGGTCACCAAGTTTGAACCCACATTCATGTATTGTGTTGGACTGTCAATATTGTCCATACAACTCTGTACACATTTGTTGTATTCTGAATCACGGATACGATTGCAATCTAGTTCAACAACAATCATGACACATGTCAGTAATGCAACCATGCATGTCAATCACCAACAACACCACTGTATTGTCAACCATGACATGACACTGGCTGTTTATTACACACCAACACTGTTAGTGTTCCGTTTACATGACTAGACTGCAAGTTGTCGTATTCGTTTGTGTAGATTTGAAATTGTTAGTAATCGAGTTTTGACATTCAATTCGTGCTGTTTTTGTATATTTTTGTATATTGCTGGACATTCAACTCAACGTCTTGTTCCAAAGTAGACATGTGTTTGATGTCATGTTTGTATAATCGAAACAGGAATCCAGTTTGACAAGTAAATGCTGCAAGACTCTTGACAATCAGTCATGTACAGTATTGAGTCGGATGTTCATACTATTGATAGCATGACAATTGTCAGTTCAAGAGTTCTGTTGAAGCTTTCTAATCATTGGCAATACTTTGAGTTGGCGTATTGAAAGTATTACAGTTGGCATAAAGTATTGATACTGCTGATATGACCATCAATCCATACTGCATTGAACAGGACTGCAACACAGTATCATATCACTAGATCAAGTGTTGAAGCAGCCGTTTGAAGGATTTTACCACTAATATTTGACCAGCTGTTGTGTGGATAAACTGTTACCCTATACTGACCGTAACTTGAAACTGACTGAATATGCCAATCGATCTTGACATATTCTTTAGTATATGGGTCAGGGTCACCAGTCCTTGACTATGAGTCCTGTTTCATTCAATGGCTGAAGAGTTGTGCATAAAACAGCCTACACATGAGTATATGTGCTACATATACCTAAATAGCAGTTGCGTTGTTGCTGCGTAAGCTTATATAACCCTTGTGTCTTGATTATATATTTAATCGCTATGAAGGTATGGTCCATATCCACAACTGACCCATTCATTACCAAGAATTGTCCTACTAATTGACAAGCTTTATCACATTCATTTTGGTCGACAGGATGAAATTCATATCGACTATTGTGTTGTCACTGTTGTCGGTGACAGTCAGTGCAGTAGTCATTGATAGTCCGTCTGCCAGCAAATCAGAACCTGTAAAAGAATGTTCAACACACATGCAGCAACACACTGGTATTTGCGCTTCAACTGGAACAGAGCAACAATCAACTGGAACCAATCATGATGTAGCTCAGTCGACTATAGATCCCGATGATTCAGACAGCTCTGTTGAACAGTCCAATGAATTATCGTCATACTCTTAGTCCAAACAGTCAGATGATGATATATTTGACAACACACTATACGACGACGTCTGTCATCTTCCTAAAAACTATATCCCAGAGAATGAACGGCCCATTCTCACACCTCAGCAAAAACTGGATAGAGTCGAAAAAATAATGAAGAATATGGGTATGGAAATTCCAACTGATGTTGGAGACGGATATCCGCACAAGATGAGCACCAAGGCAAAGGAAAGAATACTAGAAACTAAACAAAAGGAGCGTAGAATGAGCTCATCTGATAAAAAGAATTTGAAGATGCTGAAGCTAGGAAGATTATGGGTGTGTCGCAAGTTGGCTCTTGAACCTCTCGAAGAAAAATCAATCAGAGTTGTATCTGAACCTACTCCAGAATTAAAATCCATCTTGAAACCTGGATCTACTTTTAAACCCCACGGCTCAAAACACGATCATTCTAAAAAACATCATCAGAAATCAAGTCACGATGCTGGTTCAAGGGAAGCTAAAGTGCACTTTGTACCAACAACTAAAATTGCTAGATATTCAAGTGAATCTAGTGTACTGCAAGAATATGATATTCAACTTCCTTCATTACGTTCAAAGTTTAATAGATTCAAACGACAAATGCTGAGGTTCATTGGATATAAAAAGTCTACTTGAATATTTCTACACAAACCACCATAACTAAAAGTGCATGGTAAATCAATGTTTGGATAATAAACTGCTTGGTAATTCAATTTCATTGTAAAACTGGAATCACGCTATCAACAACCTCGTTTAGAATATGTTGTACTGCAGTGTGTATTATATGATTTATACTGTCAATTTGCATTTGTCATGTAAGCATTCAGTCTTGTTTGTCCAATAAACACCTTGCATTGTCACCACCATTTCCAATGTAATAGTATGCTTGAATTGATCATATTGCACCAATCAGCTACTGTGCACTGAATGTATCAGATGGTGTCATGAAATGGTGGATAATATTCATAATTGAAGTATTGGCAGTCAGTGATTGAATGATACGATCGAATACCGCTGATCACTTTGTTGGTGACCAGTATCACATGTGGTCAATACCAATATGTTGCACAACAGTCATTCAAACAGGTTGGAGCATGCCACATTGTAGCAATGCAATCAAATTGGTACAACACATGTCAACATACATGTAGTGTAGTGTATTATACACTAGTAGTGATGATTCAACTAACGACATGCATGGTTGTAATATTATACGTGAAACCACATGTTCATGTTCATGTCCATGATTATGGTGACATACAGCATTACAATAATGGGTCAGCAACAATGTGATGGAACTGGATGCGTAATATCAAAACCATGTCCAGAATATGTGATATAACAACAACTTGCAGCCATATTGACATAAATGGACCACCAAATAACAGTGTTGGCATGCAACTGTTGTTTGCATTACTGATATATGCCATGATTATTGTTGAACTAGATTGCAATCGTATCTGTGATTCAAAATACAACAGAAACAACAAACGCCGGTTCAAGACTATTTCAGTTTAAATCATAGTTTGTGAGCATCATATCACTGACACTGTTTATAATAATTCATAATGTATATCGAATCAACAGTCAATGTCAAGTACAAAACTACAACCAATATTCAGCATTGTTTATTCCAAACCAACAGTCAATCACTGCAAGATAATGTTCAACTCTACATCAATGCGATTGTATACCATTTTGGTTTTAGCTGTAAATTTGAGCCATTTCGATTTGTCCAAATTTTGCT